TCCTATCTTTCTCTCCTATCTATCTCTTCTATCTCTCTCATCCCTCTCTTTCTTCTATTTGTCTGTCTCATCTTTCTCTGTCTTTCTTTCCTATCTATCGCTTCTATCTTTCTCATCTCTCTCTTTCTCTCCCTTTCTATGTTTCATCTCTCTCTCTCACACACACACACACAAAACCACAAAGCACCCACCAAAGCATACTTATATATGTATACATGCAAATTAAAAGGCAGAAGAAAGACTGGCATCTATATCTTCCTTCATATCTGCATGACAATACAGTCTGCTAATACCCTCTCTTCGGCAAATAAAGCCATCCAGTGAGCGACTTTGCCAGGGTCATCAGGCCATAATTGCAATAAAAATCAAGATGAAAATCCTCTGTTCCTGTTATGAAAAGGCTGGGATGGTGGGCCTGACCTCCATCCCTGGCCTCTGGGGACAATACATTGAAATATCAATAAGCTACATCATGAGCTCCAAGCTCTTTAGAGAGGAAAGTGGTTTTTCTAAAATAAAAAAATAAAAAAATGATTTTTCTTCTTCTTTTTTCTTCTTTTTAATATATAACAATTTTCCGCTGGATTCTTAGGGGGATTCACTTCAAAGAAGGTATATTTATCTGCTAAAAGTGGAGAAATTCCCGGTTGACCAAAATCCTGGGAGATTTTTGAGATACTGAAAGCCAGCCCTGAATTTCTCTATGCCAGCAGATTATTATTATTATTATTATCGTTGTTGTTTTTGTTATTGTTATTATTTGCAAGCATCATTTCATCCTGTTGGAATGGGAGCTCCTAACAGAATAGTGATTCTAAACAGGCAAGTTTAAGAGAGGCAAAAGGCACGGAGCCTGATTACACACGCTTCTGATGACACCAGAGTTTTAAAACATACCGAAACTTTAAAACTGGTTTTTCCTTGCAGCAACCTCAAGATGAAAGCAAAACTACGCAGGGTTACATAAGTGCAACTTCTTCATTTAGGGGCTTGCAGGCCTCTTGGGGTTATTGGTGGCTGGGAAAAACACCCAAGAGGCATTTCCTAAGAACAATTAAGCCTTACGAGGCTGTGGGGGCTCCATTAAAGGAGAGACTGGACAGCCATTTGTCTGAAAGGCTAGGATGGGGGTCTCCTGTCTGAGCGGGGGTTGGACTAGAAGACCTCCAAAGTCCCTTCCAACTCTGTTATTCTGCTCTGCTGTTGGGAATCATTCTGTCTGTCTGTCTGTTTGTCTGTCTGTCATATCTAACTATCTATCACTATCGTATCTATTTATTGTATCTATCATATCTATCTCTATCATATCTCTATCTATCTATCTATCAATCATCTATCTATCTATCTATCTATCTATCTATCTATCTATCTATCACTATCGTATCTATTTATTACCATATCTATTTATCATATCTCCTATCATATCTATTATTTATATATCTATATCTATCACTATCATATCTAACTACATACTATTATATCTATTTATCATATCTATCACTATCATATCTATTTATGATCATATCTATTTATCATATCTCCTATCATATTGTTTATATATCATATCTATCACTATATCTATTTATCCATCATCATATCTATCTATCAATACCTACCTATCATTATCATAACTATTTATCATCATATCTATCTTCATCACCATTTTTATCTACTTACCTATCTATCATATCTATCTATCCTCATCCTACCTACCTACCTACCTACCTACCAATATCCATCAAATAGAAAATGCAGGAATTCCAAACGCTAACCTTTGCAAACATCCCCTGCTTTCTTCAACTAGTAACATTCCACAATTTGGGACTCTAATTTGTGTGCCCGGTCTTTTCGACTTTTGGCTTGTCGGGCGACTCACAAAAAAAAGAGATTTCTGTATTCCACCACAAGCTTCGGAGACCACAGGTAACCAACACCCGCCACCGGTCTCGTTAGCTCCGTTTCTGTCGTCACTGAGCAGAACGGGAGTGGGGGGATTTTGCAGCTAAGCTGCCATCTCATCCGAGCGCCCAGCATCCCTGCACGCTTCTGAGTGACCTCAAGACAGGAGCGAAGAGAGAGAAATGGGGAAGGCAGGCTCAGGAGGGCTGCCCCGGAGGAAGGATCAGCCAGCCTGCCCTGCCAGGGTCCCCAAAGGCAGGCGCTGCTGCTCTTGAATCCTCTGCTGTTCTCTTTTCCTTGGGAAGCGCGAACATGTTCGCCCTGACGGGGGAAGGGGAAGCAAGCCAACAAGCGCTGCCCTTCCTTTCCTAGCGGTAGGCAGGGACCCGTCTCCTCCCACTTGGACCCTCCCGGGACCTGCATCCCTGCTCCCTTTCATCCTTCCGTGTTCTCTGTAGCAGAGATCCAGAGGAGGATTCCCTCTCCAGTGCCCTGCTGGAGCAAGGAAGGAATCTTAATGTTTGTTTTTTTACGAGAATTTCCCTTTTATTTTGGGTTCAGATCAACAACCTGGAAGAGAGGGGAGGGGGGAGGAGAGGAGGAAGGAAAGAGAGAGGAGGGGGGAGGAGAGAGGAGGAAGGAAAGAGAGGAGGGGAGGAGAGAGGAGGGGAGGAGGAGAGGAGGGGAGGAGAGAGGAGAGGAGGAAGGAGAGAGGAGGGGAGGGGAGAGGAGAGGAGGAGAGAGGAGGGGAGAGCAGAGGAGGAAGGAAAAGAGGAGAGGAGGGGAGGGGAGAGGAGAGGAGGGGAGGAGAGGAGGAAGGAAAGAGAGGAGGGAAGGGGAGAGGAGAGAGGAGGGGAGGGAAGAGGGAAGGGGAGACGAGAGGAGGAAGGAAACAGGGGAGAGGAGGGGAGAGGAGAGGAGGAAGGAAAGAGAGGGGGAGGGGGTGGGAGAGGAGACAAGAGAAGAGGGGAGGAGAGAAAGAAAGAGGAGGGGAGAGTAGAAGAGGGAAAAAAAGAGGAGAGGGGAGGGGAAATGAGGGGATGAAGGAAAAAAAGGAGTGAGGGAAGGGAAGGAGAGAGGGAAGGCAAAGAGGAAGGGAAGGGAAGAGGTCTCCATTGACTAGTTGCTAAAGCCAGCTTCCCTGTTTCCTTTCTCCTGCTTGGGAAAGGTTCAGAGACAGCTTCCTGAAATGCAGCCTTCAATCTGCGCAGAGATTGTCCTTCTCATCAAAGGTCATGGCGTTCATCCGTCACTCGCAGTCCGAACAGCCCACCCCCGCACCCACCCCCAAAATTAAAAAACCCACCGTATTTCTTTTCCTGACTTGGAAAGGTGCTTGGGTTAATTCAAGAAAATTCGGGGCAGGAAGGAACCGGAAACCTTCCTAGGGAGGGATTGCGCGCGGAAGGCAATCCCCGTAGGAGGAAATCCTTCCACGCAGAGGGAGCTTAAGGCCTCCTGTCAATTTCACCGGCCATGTTGCGCATCTCGTGGGCTCGTGACAAAATTGAAAAGGCGGCCACGCCAGCGGGAGAGGGAAGCGTCGAGGAAGGAAGGAAGGAAGGAAGGAAGGAAGGAAGGAAGGAAGGCTCGAGGTGCCCTTCTCTGCTACCCCATCCACATCGTGTGACTCCACCGCGTCCGTTTGGAGACGGATGGAGTCCCTTTCCCAGAATTCCCTTCAATTCTGAAGAAGCTCCTGGAATGAGAAGCAAAGGACTTTCCGGGGAGCGGAGCGACGGGACCAAGAACATCCAGTTGCCTTTTGGAAAAGCATCTTCGGGGGTCGTGGTTCGCTGGCAGCAGGTTACGGACGGCTGAGGTCTCGGAGAGCAAGGACTCGGATGAGGGGCCTATGTGGCAAGGTGATGACCACTCCCTTAAGAGATAAAAGCCAGCCGAGAAACCGGAGTACTTTGCAGGAAGCAAAGAAGTTTTTGAACTCAAGCCTTGTGGACGTTCGGACTCTCTTAGTTTGTGTTTGGAGACTCTTTGTGTTTGAAATACTCCTTGGCAACTTTATTTAGTGTTCTTGGCAGTCTTGCACCACCTTGGCCAGGCTTGTTCTTGTCAGAGACAATTAGTTTGAAACAGCCTTTTAAACGGGAAGGAACAGAATTTGTAAAGCATCATTAAGAGGTTTTGCGGTGACCTCTGTTTCATGTTTGTTTCCTTGGAACAAGGTTTGGGTCAGAACGGAGGAATAACCGTGAACTGGATGATCGAGCACCTCGCCAGGTCAACGTTCCTCATAAATGGAAGATCAAAGACCCAGGAAGGAAGTTGCAAAGAAAAGACCCTGCTCGCCAAATAAGTGGGACTCCTAAACCATAAATATAGTCCCAAGGGGGCTTTTTCAAGAGGCAACTGGACTTTCTTTGTTCTTCTTTGAAGACATTTCACTTCTCCTCCAAGAAGCTTCTTCAGCTCTGACTGGATGGTGGAGGAATGGAAGGATTTATGCTCCTTGCAGGCAGCTGGTCATTTGCGTCCTTTTTAGAGAGTCGCTGAGGCCACTTGGAGGTTTCTCTGTGTCCTGAGGGTCACCTGAGTGGTGCAAATGCGCCTGGAGCCTTCTTGGAACTGCTGAAAGGACCGTGTTGAAGGCCGGGAAGAGATGACGTCGTATCCCTCCCCCTCTGTTGAGGGAGGGCTGTTCAATTCGGACATCGATGGCCTCTTTGACCCTGAGGACACAGACAAACCTCCGAGTGGCCTCGAGGACCCTGCAAACGACCAGCTGCCTGCAAGGAGTATAAATCCTTCCATTCCTCACCATCCAGTCAGAGTTGAAGAAGCTTCTTGGAGGAGAAGCAAAAATGTCTTCAAAGAAAAAAAAAACAGAAAGTCCAGTTGCTTCTTGAAAGAAAATAAAAATAAAAGCACCTTTGGGGACAACCATGATCTGGACGACGGAGAATCTCCGTAGACAGAAGCCTAGTCAGAATTGCCAAGGGCGGGTTTACAAAATACCCTCCTTCCCGCGTGCAACTCTTAAGAATTCCCAGGTAGTATGAAAGGGGATTCCCACCCAGCCTGGGGGACACCGCGTCAGAAAAGGCTACGGTTGGCCCTTTCAAGGGAGCCAGGGGAGCAATTACCTTCTTGATGGTGTTGTGTTTGCTATTCCCCCGGTCGTGGTTCTCGCTGTGCAGGATGTCCATGGTTGTCTCTCTCTCCTTGAGTTTCAGAGCTTCGATCTCGGTCTTCAGCTCATTCAGCTGCTCCTGGAGGTGTTTGCTCTTCTCCATATATTCCACCCTGGACAAAAGAGGCAAAAAAACCAAAAAAAAAGCCCACCATGAGCTGCCACGGAGGTGATTTTTGCAGGCTTGGACAAAATAGGTGGCAGAGGTAGAATCCAAGGGATGGAAGGGACCTCGGTTGGTCCCCTAGTCCAACTCCCTCAAGTGTCAGGATTCCGGCGATCGCCCTAATTGAATCGTGAGCCTCGAGCCAAGCTTCAAAAAAAGCTCAAAAGATTTATTAGGAGCGACACGCCAGCGTTAACATAAATGAAGCCAACTCTGGGATACGTAATTCAGTCACCTGTGACCCTGTTACCCCCCCTCCCCTCTGGATGTATCATAAATCGGATTCTCCAATGAAGCACATTCACGGGCCAGGTGTCATCAATCACGTTCTCAGCTCTACCACATAACTGAATGCAAAATTCTAGGACGTGAAATATCAGAACTCGTCTATCCATCCATCCATCATCTATCAATATCTATCATCTTCCTATCATCTAACCAATCTATCTATCCATCTGTCTCATCCATCCATCCATCTTTATATCTAATCCATCCATTTCTATATCTAATCCATTTATCTATCATTATATCTATCTATCTATCCATCCATAATCTATCAGCTATGTGTCATTTATCATCTATCTATCTGTCTGTCTGCCTCATGGTAGCCCCATGTAGAGCTCCAAACACAAGATGACCAGGACATGAGTGACTCAGCAGAGGGATTCATGATCTGAGAAAGCCAATAACTTGAAGCCAATGTCAGAACCAAGAGGCAGGCTTTGTCAAACAGATGCTCTGTCAATCTTTGGCTTTTCAACTTCATGCACATTCTCTCAACTTGGCGGAAACCTTCCTGCAAGAGGACGAGGAAGGCTGAGGCAGAGTTACTGGAATGAAGTAATAAGAGGACTCACTTCTCCTTCTCAATCTCCATGGACAACCTCTTCATGTCGTTATCCTTGAAGTCGAAGGAGAGGCTTTCACTGATTATGCCAAATGTTGACATGTCAGCGGGCAAGGCGGTTGTACTTGCGTTCACGGGCTGCTGAGGACAAAATAAAGAGATTAATTCCCCATCGGAGCGAATATCTGTAGCTCAGATGTAGGAGGAGAGTCAAGGTTCGTTCTCCGAGCTTGTGGGTTGGTTTCCCAACGTTTCATTACCTGGCTAGGTATTAATATCTTCAGCAGAGTTGAATGACCCTCACCTGGGGAGTGGGGATCTCCCCATCACTAGACCCATCACAAGACTCTCAATTGACACACATACCTGACCCGTTGTTCTATCCTAGGCTTCCCCCAAAACCACTAAGCAGATTCTTTGTCCCCTTTTATTAAACGAAGGTGAATTTCTTGCATTCACATTCAGCCAAAGGCCTGGCAAACAGTCTTTCAAGGGTGCAATTGGGAGCACAGACCTCACCTACCTCGGAGAGCTGCCAAGTAAATATTTCCAAACACAGTGCTGACAAGGAAGGTCTCAGCACAGAGTCTCTGAGATGCACAGACAGATCTTCACAATGAGAGAACGAATGAATGAATGGTTTCCTGCCCCCTCCCCTTTTGCTCCTCTTTTAATCCTTATGGGAAGGGCCATTCATCATCCACCTGTGTCCTTACTCCTAGGTTGACCTTGAGTTCGTAACTGTTCTTTCCTTTAAGCAGCTCTGCGCATGCGCAGGTTGGGAACCGGCTCCAGCTGCTCCTTCGCCTCGTGGCTGTCCGAGCCCGAAGGCAGATGATGACTGCCCTGGCTCCATCTCTGCCTCTGATGCAGAGCCCTCATCTGAGCCTTCCTCAGCTTTCAGGACTGGCCCAGGTTCCTCCTCGCTGTCCGACTTTGCTGCCATCTCTGCTAACCCCCAGCGGGCCACAACACTCATCACAAGACACAAGACCTGATGGGACCCTCACCTGACCACACGATGCCCTTATCAAGAAGACTGACACTGGCCTCTCCTAAACTCTGCTGAAGATGTTACCTAGCCAGGTAAGTGAAACATTCAGAAACCAACCCACAAGCTTGGAGAAACTACCCCCACCCTCATTAATCACCATTTCAGGTGAACAACAATTGAACTGACCAGCTTCCCAAGCGACACAGAGAAACCAAGGAAGAAGCAAGTGAGCACAGGGGATGGTTCGTATGATCTCAGCAGGGGCTGTGACTATCAGCCGGAGTGTCTCTGTTCTTGCATCGCATTCAAGCCAGAGCGGAAAATATGGTTGGCCTCGCTCCAGGAGAAACAGCTCAAGCAGGAAACCCTATTATCACTCCACACACTGGATTATGACAGAACTAGCCCTGGAAGGAAGCATAGACTATGGTCCTGGTCACTGAGGGATGTGAATTGCTACCTAGCCAGGTACCAGGAAGAACGAAACCAGTTATTTCCCAAGTTATATAATGAGTCACAGGGGCGCAGTGGTTAAGAGTGCAGTACTGCAGGCTACTTCTGCTGACTGACAGCTGCCTGCAATTTGGCAGTTCAAATCTCACCGGGCTCAAGGTTGAGTCAGCCTTTCTGTCCTTCCGAGGTGGTAAAATGAGGACCCAGATTGTTGGGGGCAAGAGGCTGATTCGTAAAACCACTTAGAGAAGGCTGTAAAGCACTGGGAAGCGGTCTATAAGACTAAGCGCTATTGCCCGCCTTCCTTCCTTCCTTCCTTCCTTCCTTCCTTCCTTCCTTGTTAGAATGCAGTATTGCAGGCTAATTCTGCCAACTGCCAGCGGTTCGATCCTGACCAGCTCAGGGTTGACTCAGCCTTTTATCCTTCTGTAAAACGGGGACCCAGATTGTTGGGGGCAAGAGGATGGCTCCGTGAACCGCTTAGAGAGGGCCGGAAAGCACTGGGAAGCGGTCTATAAGTCTAAGAGTTAATGCTATCAGCAGGGATGGCCGTGAAATGGATTTAAAAGCGTTCGCACTGCTGAACAACAGACAGAATCACAGAGTTAGAAGGGACCTTGGAGGTCTTCTAGTCCAACCCCCCTGCTCAAGAGTAAACCCTGCATCATTCCAGACAACTGAGCTGTCCAAAATCTCCTTAAAAACCTCCAGTGTTGGAGTACCCACAATTCCACTGGTTCATTCTTCTCATTATCAGGCAATTTCTCCTTAGTTCTAGAGCTGGATCTCTTTTTGACTAGCTTCCATTAGGAAGGTGAGTTTTTTTTTGTTTTTTTAATGCAATATGGAAGCATTTCCAACCGGCAAAATGAGAAGGACAGGTGGGTGTGCTGTCGAACGGACGCTGGCCCCCCGTACTTGGAACAAAGGCCAACATTTTCCCTGAAGATCTTGTTAGGTCTTTTTAAGCCAAGAGAATGCAGCCCGGCCAATTTGTCACGCAAGGTTAAAAGATCACAGGTTAACTTTGCCGGCTCACCTCCTTGTTTGGAGAAAAGTGGCTGGCTCACCTACTAGGAAGAGAGAGGTTTCTGAAAATGTCAGTCGTGAGCACCCCCCCCCAAAAAAACAGAAGACCGGGAGATGCTATTCTTTTAAGAAGAGGGATTCTGGGATCATGGAGCTGGCGAGTTGGGTTGGATGACAGGCCTCTCTGATCTTCATTTATGCAAAAATACGATCTGCGGGGCTTGCCGATCGCTCCGCGATGAGATAAGCCATTTGCAAAACCCCACCGGGCAACCTGCTACGCGGAGTTTCCCAGCAATCTCAAGCATCCTGGAAAGTTCATCAGGAAGGCTAGATTGATATTTACCGCTAAGAAATAAATTAAAGGGAGATTAGTATAGATCTATTTCAAGTAATTTAGCTCTCATGAGCTAGCCATGCCCCTCCTGGGATTCAAACCTGGGCTGCTTGTATATTAGGTAGATGTATTAACCTCTAAGCCACGGGCTCTCCTCGCTTTGTGGGCTACACTAGGGGAAGAGATTCGGTGTTTTTTCCCTGGTGAGACCGGCCTATCAGGGCAACCTGGTCTACCCAAATATGGGACGGAGCGTATACTGCTTCCGCTTTCGCCTTTCCGCCCCAGTCCCGGGGTGTTCGCGGGCAGTCGCTTTCGCGGCAAACTATTTGTGTGTTAAATTTATATGGTTGTATTTAAATTTAATCAGGAAGGCGAGTTTGCAGCACCGCTTGGGTTCAGATTTGGCATTTTAGCAAGGGAGCCGCAAATATTTGTTGCAAAGATTCCTGTCGCAGCACAGAGGCAATCGGGGTTGAGTAGGAGGGGAACCCTTCAGTCGGTCGGTCGGTGCTCTTAAAAGCTTCAGAAATGATTGCAGAAAGCCTCAGAGAATCTGGAGGGGAGGGGAAACCCCATTAAATTCCAGCCACTTTAATCCTGGCTTGTTTAAACTCTTTGTCATGCCCCTGTCGGAGTCTGAATCCAAGGAGGAAGCAAAGCAGCTGACAGGGAGCGGGAGTGTAGCTCCGTTGGCTGTGGAGGAGGCTGAGGAAGGGCAAAGTCCGGCTGGGCAGAGCAGGGGGGAGATAGAACAAAGGAGAAGGAATTCAGAGGAAGACCCAGGCCCACCCCCTCTTCATCCTAGGGGAACGCAGGGGGGAACGGAGAAGGGAGCAACGTGGGCTGCATGGCTTACGGAGGGCCCTGATCCCCTTCATTAGCCACAGCTGGGAACACAGTTTATAAAAAAGGCAAGCTGTGTGCAGCAGGCTGTTGGGAACAATCGTGACTTTATCCTGTGTTGTCGTGGCTTATCTGTGTTCCTAGTGCCTTCCCAACATGTGAGTTTTGCTGTGCCTTCAAGTCTGAAATCCTTGCTTCTGCCCTGCCAAACTCATTACTTCCGTTTGGCTTGATTGGACTTTACGTTACAGTTTATGTTGACCATGTTTTGGACTTAATTTTCTGCAGTCAAAAGGCTGTTCCTGGGAGAGTTTTTCTCCAGCCCAGAAAGTAACAAGGACATTGGGAGCAAAGTTGGAGATAATAAAAGGACTCTTGTTGATTAACTGACTGCGTTGCCTTTGTGCCACGTGCCGGGTCATCACACCTAGGTTCATTTGGATGGGGTTCTTAAAAGCTTCAGAAATGATTGCAGAGAGTCTCAGAGAACCTGGGGGGGTGGGGTAGGGGGGAGGAACCCCTTTAAATTCCAGCCACTTTGGTCCTGGCTTATTTAAACTCTTGTTCAAGGTGATGTAGAGCCAGAGACAAATGGTGAGAGAAAGAAAGGCTGTGAAATGGTTGTAAAAGCAGTCCGCTTACAGATCTTATTTAACAGCTGAGATCTCTCCCCCCCTCACCCCACCCCCACACAAAAGGAGTCGATAAACGACTCCAGGGTGCTCCTCAAAATCTTGATTAAATAGAGGGCGAGCGTAGGGCAAAGAAGCCTGTAGGATTTGATTGAAGTGGGCTTGATCCTCCTTCGAAAAAAACTTCCACCTTTCGATCAGGAAGGCTTGGCTGGTGTTTTGATTTAAGATTTTTTTTTTTCCCCCATTGCTGTCTGACACATATTTGCACAACATCCATCGTTGGCAATCAACCTTCGGGATGAAATGTGTCCAACCGGAGGAAAAGGTGAAATGGGGAAATGGAGGACAAATTTTAAGGGTGTCGCCAAAGAAGGGATTTGCGATTGCCAACTTACAAGACAAGCAGGCAGGCAGAGAGGGTCAACAGATGGATAGGTGGATGGATAGCTCGACAGACAGACAGAGATGATCAACAGATGTATGTATGTATTATAGATGGACAGTCAGACCGACAGACAGCGATAGAGTCGATAAACAGGTGGATGATATATTGATTTATTATTTATTGAATTTATATTGCCGCTCTATTCGTCCATGGTGACGTATAGATGATAGACAGACAGACAGTGGTGATACAGGACATAAACAGGTAGGTGGATGATATAGATGATGGATAGATAGATAGATCGACAGACAGACAGATATAGGGAGATGGAGAGAGGGAAGGGTTAGGGTTAGGTTTGGGAAGGACTCGACAGGTAGACAAAAATGCCAAATCCAGCCTGAACATCTGGCTGACAGCGCGAAGGACCACAACAACAAAGCCAAGCAAGTACCAATAAGAATAGGCACCAGCAGTGCCATCTCCACACATCTGGATCACCCTTTGAACACCGTCAGCGTTGACAAAATCCCCAACTGTCAATTGGAAAAGGCGGCTCCCCTCGGAAGAGCTTACCTCCTGTGACACGATCTGCAACCCCATTCAAACATGCACATCTGCCTATCTCGGGTTCGTGGGCGGAACTCAACAGTGCGACCAACCCCAACAAATTAAACCTGTATGCAGCCCGAGTCCCTGGGCAGTTGAATGAATGAATGTCTTTTTTTTAAACAGGCTCTTCCAGATATTTAACTTCGCTTACGTGTTCTCGGTCCACCTATTCTGGAATGGGAAGCTCCCCCGCCTTCCTTGCCAGCAGTTACCAAAGAACATTAATTTTATTGCACTCTTTCTCTCTCTCTCTCTCTCTCTCTTTTTTTTCCCCTCCTTACTTTTTGCACATCTTTCCTTTCCTACTCAGCTGATATGTCTTTTACGAGGGAACCAGTCTCTGGGCAATTGCGCTCTGGCTGTTTAAACCTGAGACCGGGAATGATTCATGCTCCCAGCAAAACAGAACAAACGGAGGGCGGGAATTGCAAAAGGCAACACAAAACTGTTACACAATGAGGGACTCTCCAGGCTAATAAATATAATACTTTTCAAGATAGAAAACCAGGTTTTGGTTATATATATATATATTTTCGGGGGGTGGTGGTGTTCCTCTTTAAAGTCCGTTGTCTTGCATTTTAATCGGAGATCTCCTAGGTTTGCTACTATTAAGGGGCTAAAGAGATTTAAGGGATCATGTTCACGCCAGAACCTCCAAGAACAGAAGCCTGGATTTCACTAATTCTGGAAACGTTGATTGTGCTCATGTTGCACACAGGAGGCAAATCTTTTAGGAACCACCCCCCACAAGATCGTGAAAAAGACATTAGCGCATCTTTCCGGTTCGGCTTTCCTTTTAAAGGATGATAATTTTTGGGGATCGGCAGCTAGAAATTCAAAAAGCCCCAAACATCCCTGACAAACCACAATTTCATTTTAAAAGAGATGTTTCTGCTTCTTGCAAGCTTCACAAGGTTCTGCTTGTATCCTTAGGAGGAAAACATTTTCTTCAGAGGTGGGTAAAATGAGGGCCCAGATTGTTGGGGAAAGATGCGGACTCTATAAAGCCCTTCCTTCCTTCCTTCCTTCCTTCCTTCCTTCCTTCCTTCCTTCCTTCCTTCCTTCCTTCCCTTCCCTTCCCTTCCCTTCCCTTCCCTTCCTCCTCTCTCCCTCCCTCTCTGGAAGTGCAGGGGTTAGAATGCACTATTGCAGGCTAACTCTGCCCACAACCAGGAATTCGATCCTGACCAGCTCAAGGCGGATTCAGCCTTTTCGTCCTTCCCAAGTCGGTAAAATGAGGAGACCCAGATTGTCGGGGTCAACAGGCCGATTCTGTCAACTGCTTAGAGAGGTCTGTGAAGCATTGTGAAGCGGTATATAAGTCTAAGTAAGTGCTGTTGCTATTTCAGATGGGTGGACTTTAACTCCCAGGATTCCCCAGCCAACAGGGTCACTGCTAAGAATTTTGGGAAATTAAAATCCACTCATCAAAATCCAACAGTGTTTCTCACGCTTGGTAATCTTAAGATAGCTGGCTGGGGGATTCTGGGAGTTGAAGCCCACCCATCTTAAAGTTGCCAAGGTTGGGAAGCACTGATCTGGAGGACATCCAAGCATATCAACACATCCTACAGAGGGGGGAAAAAGCAGTAATTCAGAATTGTCTTACGGTGTAGGAGGACTTGCTGGTAATTTCCAGAAGCTTCTGCTTGGCTCTCCTTTCAGAGTCTCGGGATTCTTGCAAGTCGTTCTTGAGTTGATCTGCCTCCTTTGCCCTGCAGGCAGTCAAGAAGAGAAGAAAAGTCAGAGTCAGACTCAAACCAGCCTTTATCCTGCCCCCCAAAAGACAAGAGGGGGCGACGTTTCATCTCTCCGAAGGCTAAACAGTGTCGCATTCTAGGGATATCATAAAGCAAAAAACCAGCGAAGGCAAGGATTGTTATCTCTGGTAGCCGATTCTGAAAAGTTAACTTGGAAAACTCTCGGAAAAGATGCCGCAGGTGACAATTAAACCGAACAAACAGAAAACACGCGGCTTACCGGGAGATCCACAATTTGTGACCTTTCTTGCCGCTGTCTCTATTCTAAAATGGGGTGAGATAATTTCTTATATGCCCTTATATCATCCAGAGTGCTCCAAGAATAATTTTTTCACATTCTCAACACCAAATCAAACCTAATACAAGTGTGTGTGTGAATGGATGGTGGGGAATGGAAGGATTTATTTGCCTTTTTTTAAGAGAGCCGGTGAGGCCACCTGGAAGGTTTGTCTGTGGCCTCAATGACTCTCTAAAAAGGACGCAAATGACCAGCTGTCTGCCAGGAATACAAATCCTTCCGTTCCCCACCACCCAATCACAGCTGAAGAAGCTTCTTGGAGGAGAAGCGAAATGTCTCCAGAGAAGAAGGAAGCCCAGTTACCTCTTTGAGGGCAATTTGAGCGTAACCAGAGGGGAAAGAAAAGAGCCGGATACATAGAGTGGAGAGATGGCATTAAGTTTTAATTATAACAGATATATCAGATGATCAGAATTGGAAGGGACCTTGTAGGTCATCTAGTCCAACCCCCCCGCCCAAGCAGGAGACCCTACACCATTTCTGACAAATGGCAGTCCAATCTCTTCTTGAAAGTCTCAACTGATGGCGCGTGATGATGTAATTACTCAACCTCCTCCAGTAAGAAGCTGTTCCAAGCATTCTGTTAATTTGTCCCAACTCCGGCCTGAGACTTCTAATTCCAGACATCTACAGAACATCTCACCGGACGCCAGCCTGGCTTAGTTCATTTTAAAGGCAAAGGAAAAGTACGCTATTTTATATTCCAAGCTCCTCCTACGGTGATACCACCTTCGTTCGGACTCCTCCGCCATTTTCAGCGCCAACATCTCGGCCTCCAACACTTTTTGTTCCATCAGCCGCTTCTCTTCCTCCGTCCGGATCGCCGTGGCTTTGATCCGTTGCATTTCCTGCTCCGCCTCGGCTGCCTTTTGAGCCAGGAGTTTGGCTTCCTCTTCGGTGATCTGAGCTTTTTCGGCCAGCAAGTCGGCGGTTTCTTCCGATCTCATCTGGGCGAGAAGGACGGAGAATTCAAACACGCGAAGCCTGACCCGTCAACGGAAGCCTGGATGAATCCCAAAGCTGGGGAATGGGACCCCAAGGTTTAGAATACAGGTAGTCCTGGACTTACAACGGTTCATTTACTGACCCTTCGAAGTTACAACAGCGACGGGCCTGAGATGAGCAACGGATCCAAGGGTGGTATTCTACCGGTTCAGACTGGTTTGGGCGAACCGGTTGTTAAATTTACATCTGGTTCGCTGACCTGGGAGTTGAACCGACTGGCTGGCCCCACCCACCCTACCTACTCCTGTTTTGGATGCAGGTAAGTGTAGGCTCAGAGTGGAGGCTCTGGGAGGGCTGAAGGAGAAGTTCTGGACGTCCGGAAACGGGCCTGTTTCCGGCTCCCAGAGGCCATTTTCGCCCTTCCAGAGGCCTGAGGGAAGCCTCCGGACTCTGGGGAAGGTGGAAAACGGCCCTCCCGGAAGTTCCGCTAGGCCACGCCCACCCAGCAACCGGGCAGCTAACTGGTTGCTGGGATTTTGGCATCCTAGCCCTGAATACACCCCCCCCCTCCACCAACTATCCTGGATAAAACGTCCCTTCCCAGAAAGGAACGCTTTTGTAGGTAAGACTCTACCTGTAGAAGCATCTTTGAGGGACCTACCAGAGCTTCGTTTGCCATTGTGGCCTCCTCTTTCAGCTGCAGAAGTCTCCTCTCCATCTCATCTCTCGTGCGTTCAGCCTCTTCTCTCATCTGTTTCTCTCGGGCTAAGCGCTGGCGCTCCATCTAGGAAGAAGCGAGCAATGGAGGGGGAAGAGAAGAATGAAAAACAGCAAAAACATGCGGATCGTATGCATTCAGCCAAGAGAGGGGCGGAGTGGAGATCTCGCCTCGTCGTTCAGGAGGCTGCGAGTTCCAATCCCAGTGCCACAGGTTCGCCATCACGGAGTTAGGATCTTCTCCCTAAGGCGGGGGGCGGGGGGGCCTGCAACGTGAAACACTCGAAGGGCCACGGGGACCCGTTTCCCACAGAAAAGACCAGGAGCCACAAAACCGGGGTGGGCGTGGCCAAGTCGGTGTCACTCCCACCCAGTCACATGACACACACACACACACACACACACACACACACACCGGCCACGCCTACCCCGGTTTTGTGCCTCCCGGTGTTTTCTGTGGGAAATCTCTCTCTCTCTCTCTCTTTCTCTCTCTCTTTCTCTCTCTCTCTCTCTCTCCCCCCCTCCCATTTCTGTTTTTGTATGGTTTACCTTCTCAGGCCAGTTGAAGAGTGACTGGGAGGGGAGGGTGAGGGGCAGAGCCAGCCGGTGGCGGGATCACCCAACAAGGAACCACAGCAGAGGGGCCCAAAGAGCTGCATGCGGCTCCAGAGCCACGGGTTGCCGACACCCGCCCTAAGGAAATCCAGGACCAGTGCTTTCTCCTTAAGACTCCTCTAACCATTTTGGGGAGCATCTCTAAGACCCAACAAAAGTTGTTTCCCCAAATGTTTTTGGCTTTGCAGACCGGGGACGGTCCCTGCGTGCAGCCGGCAAGCCCGCACAGCTCCATGGGCTGCGGCTCACAGGTTGGCCGGGGTGGTGGTGGTGGTGGTAGAAGGGGAGACCTCCTGACCCCCAAGAGGCTCGGTTGCCGCTTCTTGTACTCTCTTAGCAGCTTACCCAGAAGTGGCCGTTAAATATTCCGCATGGCACTCTACAGATTAGCTGTATGGGTTTCAGCGCAGAGGAAAGTCTCTGTGAGCATGATTCATGCAATCCAATTTGCAGAGATGCGCTCCCTGGCTCCCTGCTGCAGACTGCGATGTGCTGCGTCTGCCAGATGGGTGGAAAGGAGGCCAAGCCACGCATTAGCATGCAGGCAGCATGCAAGCCACACATCGGCACACAGTTCATTATCGTTTAATTAGGAGAGAGGAGGACACAGCTCCTCCTTCCTCCTCCGACCTAGGCCCCCTTTTCCCGGTAACCGATTCCCTGCTCTCTCTTGCTCTCTCTCTCTCTCTCTCACACACACACACACCAAAATCTGGAGAAGAGCATAACAGAAAGAGGAGGTGCATTTAGAAAACACTCTGCAAAAAAAAAAAAAAAAATTTGGACACAACGTAGAACTAGAAGACTGGGAAAAACTATGGAGTAAGAATTATACATTAACAAGGTCCGCAGCATATAAGGAGAATCTTTATGTTTTATCGTTGGCATTTGGCACCCATGAGATTGGCAAAGATGTACCCCAAGATGAATCCAAGATGTTGGAAATGTCAAGAGAGCCAGGGTACCTTCTTTCACATGTGGTGGCTATGCCCCAAAGCCAAACAATACTGGGCCAAAATACGGAGTTGGTTGTCAAGAAATAACGAAACGTCAAATAGACTTTAAACCTAAACTGTTTCCTTTTAGGAATAATTAAGGGGAAATGTAGTAAAAAGACCAAATACAGGATATTACACATAACGACAACGGCGAGGATTGCACTTGCACGATGTTGGAAGCGAGATGAGTATATCGTCAGAGGAATTAGTAATCCAGAAGGCATTAGAATGTACTGAGGTAGATAAACTCACTCTAGAGCTAAAAGAGGAGCCAGAGTACTATGTAGTCCGGAATAATTGGTATGAATGGTTGAATAGTAGGAATAAGAATAGTAGAGATAAGAAAAAATGTATATAAATGACTTATAAATGTATGGAGATCTGTATATGGAACAACGATGCCATAGTGTTGTTAAAGATGAGAATGAGATTTGTAAATGTGAAAAAGCACAATAACAATAAATTTTAAAAAAAGAAAGCACTCTGTAGCACATGCTTGCGTGGACGTGCACACACACACTCAACACCTTTACACCGAAAGCAGACGGAAGGGCTGTGTCGAAAAAAGAACAGGGAAGAAGACCATAGTTGGTCAGGAGAACATCTCCTTCATTTGAGGGACACCTGGGTATGAAAACCAAAGGTGGCAAAAAAGCAGCCCCCAAATCCCAGCGTTTGGCCAGGTTCCCCCGCACCCCCGTTTTGTTTATTTAATGATCAGTTCATAGTTTGGCATCCTGTGCAGAAAAACCCTTCCACCTTCTTCCCAAGTCCGTTCTGGGGAGCCAAAATATGGTGTCAGCTCGTAAAATATTTCTATGGTCTTTTTAGAGTTGCCAAGAGAAAGGGAGGAGGAAAGAGAGCTTGAAAGAGCAGTGTGGCAGGTTGCAAATCGAAAGTGCATTCCATAAATGGTTTCTCAAAGATAGGAGCTAGGTGACTGAAGTTTCTGCCACGCAAATATCTAACTGGAGAATGGGATTGATGACTCTGGGCTATGGATGTGTCCCATTGGAGAATACGAATTATGATACACCCAGAGGGGGTGGGGGGAAACCAGGGTCAAGGGTGACCATGAATGATGTGTCTCAGAGTCGGCTACACCCAGCCAGTGCCGGACATGTTAACTCCCCAATAAATCCTTTTGAAGTTTTGGAAGTTTGGCTCGACACTCGTGATGGACATGGTCAGCTCGACATCACTCGTGTCGGGAAGTGCTTATGGCGGCCCGTGCACTCCGCCAGTGAAAACAGGCTCCCAAGCTCTGTTTTCGGCTGCGACGGCCTCCTACAACCCACTGCCAGTGAAAATGGAGCTCGGGAGGGCTGCGAGCACCCCTCACCCCGAGCTCTGCTTTCATTAGCAGAGGCACCGTGGGCCATTTCTTCATTGTTTCGCAAGCAGCTCCGCGGGCGCCAGATCTAAGTGCCGGATCCGGCCTGTGGGCCTCGAGTTTGACACCCCGATCTAGGATGTCTTGTGAACGCAGAGCTCACTTGTGTGAACTGGGGCTCTTCTCACCTGCTTCCTGGCTTTCTCCTCCCTGGCCTGGGCTTTCATTTGCTGGACTTCGAGGGAATCGGCCTTCCGTCTCCTCATGAACAGGTCGTGGTTGCCGATACAGAGCTGAAGGATCTGTGGCAGCCAGGAAGAAAGGAAGCAAGCTGGGTAAGTCTCATGTGTGAACAATGCCATTTGTTTAAAAAAAAAATCCATCCCGCAGAACCGGAGGACAATGGATCTGTCCCAAGACTCACAAGAGTAAACCGGTAAAGCACAAGAGCTGTTGTGATCTGTCCCTGAATAGTGCTGAAGACAATTGAACAAAACTTGATTCAGCACCACAATAATGGATAAGAGAGAAATGCAGATTACAACATTCAGAGAACAGACTGTTCCAGGGAACGCTGGAATATTTTTTTGTCCCGAGCTATGTCTTTCCTCACATCCTAGACATCAACTGTTTCAACTCCCACCCTCAAAACGACGCTATAGAGCCCTGTACACCAGAACAACTAGACACGAGGACTGTTTTTCCCCAAATGCCATCACTCTGCTAAACAAATAATTCCCTCAACACTGTCCAACTATTTACAAAGTCTGCATTACTATTAATCTTCTCATCACTCCTTATCACCCATCCACTCCCACTTGTGACTGTATGACCGTAAACCTTGTTGCTTGTATCCTAACTATTTTTACTGACTATTTCCTAGTATGATTTGATTTCTTCTTTGTACCCTGTGACTATCATTAAGTGTTGTACTTTATGACTCTTGACAAATGTATCTTTTCTTTTATGTACACTGAGAACATTTGCACCAAGACAAATTCCTTGTGTGTCCAATCACACTTGGCCAACAAAGAATCCTATTCTATTCTATTCTATTCTATTCTATTCCATTCCATTCCATTCTTATTCTATTCTATACTATCCTATTCTTTTTCAATCCAATATTCTATTCTATTCTATTCTATTCTATTCTATTCTATTCTATTCTATTCTATTCTATTCTATTCTATTCTATTCTATTCTGTGTTCCGGCTTTTGCCAACGTGATTCAAACTACACAGACCAAAAACAAAACAAAAGATAAAATTGACAATCCAAGATTGGTCACCCCCCCCCCCCCCCGTAAAGTCTTCCATCCGTCAAGAGATGAGGCCCTACCCAAAAAACTTTAGCTAACGAAAGGCACACAGGCTTAAAGCAACAGTTCGCCGGCGTGAGTCCAATGACACCAACTAGATGGAGCCAGGAGCCAGGAGCCGAGAGCAGGCAAAATAAAGGAGACGCCATTAGAAATCTTTCATCGAAAAGCCTGTTGTTTTCCCAAGCTCTCCAAGAGGCCAATTTCGGAAAGGATTCTCAAACAAAGCCCTGCTGCTTGAACCAACAGCGGATTATGCCTTGTCAAGCTGCCCTTTCACTCAAGATTTAGAGCCACTTACCAAAATCCAAACAGACCCTGTCCTGTCCTCTCTCTCTCTCTAATCCGCCAGAAAAATAATATCCCTCGCAAGGGAGGTGGACAACCAGAGGTTGATGTATCATGACATTTGCTCCTGCTTATTACGGTAATGGCCAGGGTCCCTTCAACCTAGCAGCTTATATAAGAACCACGGAAAGCTGAGCCTCGGATGGAGCACCTGACAGCTTCCGCTGGAAGACAAGGGTCAGACCCACCAGCTTCGGCTTGGCGCCTCGCTAGCATCCTGCCATCAACCAGGGAAGCGAGAGGGGAACCAACGGGCAAGAAAGTTGCATGCTTTTTACGACGGGAAGTTGGGAGGCAGAGGGGACTGACAGTTGAGGGAAAACAGAGCACTTGGGAATTCGGTCCGTGCCAGCATCTTCAAGGCCACGTACCCTGAGAGTGGAATTTCACCAGCCCGAATACCTCAGCGCTTCCAGAAACATCTCAGCGGTGCAGAAGTGGTTACGCGCAGATGTGCTATGCGGGAGGGCAGGGCCGAGGCAACTAAGGGGTTAGGTTTTGCATCGATGTGCGGGAACTTCAGATTCCGCGTGACTACTAATCAGCATCTCTTAGTGAAAGTGCCTTTCCACTTCAATCAGATGGGAGTCGAGGGTTTTACTTTCCCGGGAGATTAACCAGAGGCGGGTCTGACACCCGGGGGAAACTAACGTAGGGGTGGGGTGGTTTGTTATGAACGTTCAGCACAGAATCATACAGCTGGAAGGGGTCTCAGAGATCTTCTAGTCCACGACTTGAAGACCCCTGAGCTGGAATATGATCGATATTCTCATTTTGCGCCCCCAAATCGCCGAGTGGCTTTGCCAGTTCAGCTGCAAACCTCTGGATGCTCCCTGTTTGTACCTGCAGCATGCAACGCGTGTCTCAGTGCGGAAAAGGGAAATGGGCGCCTTTCTCTGCTCGGGAGAAATCGTTCCCGCATATAACAAGGACACGGTACCTACCAGTTTGTTCACACGCAGCTTTGAGGAGTTGAATTTGAAGACGTCGATCTTCTTGTCCAGAGGTTTTATTGTAAACTGGGTGGGGAAAAAAAAAAAAAAGCAGTTTTGCATACATTATTTTTTTAAAGACACCAGAGAAGAAAGGAGCGGATGGTTAACCAAGGCATAAGGATTCGATAGAAGATGGGAAGCAGGCTTGATCTCAAGTTAAATCATCGATTCACCTGGCTGAGGAATTTCCAACTGGAACGAACTTTCCCAGACCTCAAACAGGACACACCCCTGGTTCCTTCCAAAATATTGGGCACTGGTCCAGAAAAAAAAAAACATCACCCTTGAATTGCCTTTACTTTTTTTTCTACCTCCTGCTAAAATTTAGCACTGCAAATGTTGAAATGGAAGGAGGTACCATTTGCTACCCCCATTGATGCTGGAAACTCACAGCAATGGAAGCAAAGACCCAACAAGGGAATTCATTTAGTTGAAGGAATCAACAACAATGAAAAAAGAATTCTTATTTCATCTGCTCTTATTCTATTCTATTCTATTCTATTCTATTCTATTCTATTCTATTCTATTCTATTCTATTATCTGTTCTATTCTATTCTGTTCTGCTCTTATTCTCTCTTCGCTTGTCTTCTCTTCTCTTCTCTTCTCTTCTCTTCTCTTCTCTTCTCTTCTCTTCTCTTCTCTTCTCTTCTCGTGTGTCCAATCACTCTTGGCCAATAAAGAACTCTATCCTATCCTATCCTATCCTATCCTATCCTATCCTATCCTATTCTTTCCACCCATTCTAGGTAGCGTTTTTTTCTTTCTTTTTTTCTATCGCTAAGAAAACAAGTGCTCCTTCCTCCTGCAAATTAGGGCTTTTGCCCGTCTTAAAAGGCTCCTCAGTTCTGCCCAGGCTCCTATTCCCATTTCAAATTCGATGCCTCTGGATTTTAAATGCAGCCCTTAGAAATTTCACTTAAGCGCTGCCAGGCAGCCAGGACTCCAGTTGTGTCGTTTGTACATAAACACCGTAGAAAGGGCAATTAGAAACCAGAGGAGAGACCTGGGAAAGGGAGGTCAACTTAATTTAAACACAGCCAGGAAACGTTCATAAGTTCAAAACGAGAAGCCAGAGGCTTATTTAAATACAGACAGAGGGAGAAAATAAATTCACGCTGGTCCAAAAACCGGGAATACCTCCAGAAGAGAAAGAGCTTCTGAACTTTCTTTGTACACTTTTAAGTTTCAGATTAACTCTTTGCATCCAATGGTGCCCTCTGCGGTGGGACTTCAGCCTGACACGACCACAGGTAGTCCTCGACTTACAACACTCTGCTTAGTGGCTGTCCGAAGTGACAACGGGCACTGGAAAAAGTGACTTATGGCCATTGTTCACACTTAACGACCATCGCGGCATCCCTGTAGTCCCGCGATTTGCATTTGAATGCTCGGTAAACTGGTTCCTATTTATGACGGGGTCACATGTTCCCCTTCTGCGACCATCTTGACAAGAAAAGCTGATGGGGAAACCAGATCCACTTAACAACCGTGTGACTAACTTGACAGCTGCACTGATTTGCTTAACAAACGCGGCAAGAAAAAAGTCGTAAATATGGGACAAAACTCACTTAACCAACTTCTCACTTAGCAACGCAGCTTCTGGGGGCTCAATTGGGGTCGTAAGTTGAGGATTACCTGTATGATTGATTGTCTCAATGGCACCCACCCCACCGGTGGTTTCTGGTAAATCTTAACCAGGCAGGTGTTCAAACCACGTCATCTTTTAAAGACTCCATAATCCCTTGTGGGGGTGGAATTCTGAATGGAGCGGAATGTTTACTGGCTGGAGGCCTTTCCCGTCACCAAGGCAGAGTTTTGTTCCGCAGACATATTCTCAGTGTGGTGCAAAGAGAGAAATACCTGCCTCTACCTAGCATTCGAACTGACAGCCTCCTAACTGGGAGGCGAGAGCATGGCACGACCTAAACTATCGTTTGCTTTCTCCGTGTTTATGCAGCTCGGGCCTACCTCCTTATCGCTGTAAGAGACGTTGCGGATCTCGTTCCAAGGGAAGGAGATTTTAGGGGTCAGCCTGTTTTCTGGATCGTATATGTGGAGGCCCAACGCATCGACTCCCAGAAGCAGCTCTGTCCCCTTCTTGTTCTGAAAGAAGAAGGGAAAAAAGAGGGGAGAGAAGTAAAACAGGGAGACGTAACCCCACTTGAAGCCGTGCTGCAAATCAGCCACACGGATTTGCACCTTAACTCTCTCCCACCTTGACCCGGATGTTCTTCTGCATGAACCTGGTTAAAAGGAGGAGGGGGGAGGAGGCAAGAGAGCTGCTTTCCGACTCGGTGTGGACCACGGGGCCGATGACTCATTTGTTCACCTTCAGAAATCTCCTTCTGGCCCCTTCCGGCCCACAGGTGAAGCGACCAGGGAAATAGCAATAGCACTTAGGCTCATATACCGCTTTATGGTACTTTCCAGCCCTCTCGAAGCGGTTTACAGAATCAGCCTCTTGCAAACCCCAACAATTTGGGTCCTCATTTGACCCACCTCCGAAGGATGGGGGGGCCGAGTCAACCTTGAGCCTGGCGGGATTTGAACTGCCAAATTGTAGGCAGCTGGCTGCAGAAGTAGCTTGCAGTACTGCGCTCTAACCACTGCGCTACAGAGGCTCCCGAAAATGCTACCCGAAAAGCCACAGAACGCTTCTCAGCAAGTGAGCTCAGGGTTCGGCCCGAATGCTTCGTCCAGAGCTGGTCTTCAGCCGGTTCTGACCGGTTTTTGAGAACCGGAAGCGGAAATTTTGAGTAGTTTGGAGAACCAGCCAATCCCACCTCTGACTGGCTCCGCCAACCCAAATCTTCTCTGCCTCCCATTGAGTCCCAGCTGATCGGCTGGGTCTCCTTTGGTTGCCCTGCACAGGAGAACGGAGCTGGAAAGCAGGTTAGTGAGGTGGGGAGGGAACGGGGATTTTGCAGTATCCCTTTCCCTGCCACGCCCACTAAGCCATGCCCACAGCTGATCAGCTGGGTCTCCTTTAATTGTCCTGCATGGGAGAACGGAGCTGGAAAGCAGGTTAGTGGGGTAGGGAGGGAACGGGGATTTTGCAGTAACCTTCCCCTGCCACGCCCACCAAGCCACGCCCAGAGAACCGGTAGTACAAAAATTTGAATCCCACCATGGCCTTCATCCTCTCGCACCCCAATCAACACCCTGAACTGCAGAGGGATTCACGCTGTGTGCTCATTTCTGGGTGTACTTACCCGGATGGCAAAGTAATTCACCCCATACATCTCCAGATCCTGAGCTATTTTCAAGTACTCCATTTCTGCTTCGTCCCTGCAAAGGGGGAGGGGTGTGGGAAGGAAATTCAGGGGGGGGGGGATGGTTTAGAGGAAGCATCTGGCAAGGCGCCCGAGAACACAAATCGAACGTTGGTGTAGCAGATCCCATAATCTCTCCCGAAGATTGAAACTTCTGTTTTTCCAGCCAAGGCGACAAAAAAGGCTTTGCAGCCCAAGGTCCAAGCGGCAGATTTATCGTAGGCTCAACGTCTAAAACTTAAATATGACTAATCCCCTCGCCCCAAATAATTTCCCATCTCTCTGTCATGCCTCACTCCCAAGTCCAATTCATGGAAGGTTATCCTTAAGAGGGACAGGGGGAATGGCCCCAAATAAGGTGAATTAAGAAGATTCTGAAAAACTACACATGGGTAGTCCTTGGGTTATGACCGCAGTTGAAGCCCCAAATGTCCGTTGGTAAGCGAGGCAGTTGTTAAGTTGAGCTTGCCCCCCTTTTATGGCCTTTCTCGCCCCAGCTGTTAAGTGAGTTGTTAAGTAAGTAGCACAATTCGCATGATCCTGGAATACTGCAACCGCCATAATTATGAATCCGTGGCCAATCGTTCAAAATTCGACCGCGGTGCTGCAGGTCGTGTTAAAAATGGCCACAAGCCACTTTTTGCAGCGACTGTTTAAACCAGGGGTCGCCAATCGGTGGGCCAGGGACCACTGGTGGTCCGCGAGAAAATTTTAGTGGTCTGCAGAGAAATGTCACCCCCACAAAGACTCGTTTCTGGCAGAGTTTGGGGGAGAGAAAGAAAGACTTCTGCCGCTTCTGCTGCTTTCCTTGCATGAAGCCAAAAGTCTCTCTTGCTCTCTCTCCCTCTGAGAACGGAGATGGAGTCAGTATCCTGCGATCCCAAATAAAGAATGACGGATTGATAGGAAAACAGGGTGGGGAATTTTCCTGCGGACTTTTTGGGGGATTTTCCCAGGGTCTCTGCTGCTTTCTGCAGAGACCCTAGGAAAACATCAGCAAGCCGCCGTCAGTCAAAATTCATAGTAGTAGCCCACGGGATTTAAAATTATGAGTTTGGTGGTCCCTGAGGTCCAAAAGATTGGCGACCCCTGGTCTAGATGACCTATAAGGTCCCTTCCAACTCTCATTATCTGTTATCTGATGGTACAAGGCTGCGCCACCCAGCCACAGACCATGGGAAAATCCCCAAAAAAGTCTGCAGGAAAATCCCCCACCCCGTTTTCCTATACGGACCGATTGTTCTTTATTTGGGATTGCAGGATACCGTCTCTCTCACTCTCTCTCTCTCCTTCCCTCCCTCCCCCCCCGAAAACAGAGCTGAAAAGCAGGTTAGTGAAGGAACGTGGTTGCCTTGGAGGGGGGGTGTCAGGGACCTCTCTGTGTGTGTTTCTCTGTGTGTGTGTGTGTGAGAGAGAGAGAAAGAGACAGACAGACAGACAGAGACAGAGAGAATATCACCACCAGCGCTCCGAGGTTAGATCGGATCGATATCTCTCTCTCTCTCTCTCCCACCAACATCAGCAAACCACTGTCACTCAAAATTCACATTAGTGGTCAGCGGGATTTAAAATTATGCGTTTGGTGGTCCCTGAGGTCCAAAAGGTTGGCGACCCCTGGTTTAAACCGTTGTTAGAGGAATGGTGGTAAGTCAAGGACCACCTGCGTTTACCTGTACCCTTTTAAGTCACTCACCTGGCTCTACCTCGATGTTGGCCGTACCAGGCTGTAATCCTTTCTTCCCACATTTCCGGAGTCATCTGGTAGAGATTTATCACCTAGGATCAAAAGAGAAAAAAAAAAAGAACTTTAATTCACAGCCCAACCTTGCCTGACTGTGATTTCCTCTCCTGGTCTCATAATCCAGTGTTTCTCGACTTTTGGAAACTTATAAAAATTGTGTGGACTTCAATTCCCGGAATTCTAGGACTTGGAAGTCCAAAGTTGAGAAACTTCAGTCATAATCGTAAGTTCAACCTCCAGAATCAGAATATACAGCTGGAAAGTATTCTGGAGATGGATCTCCATCGGTTACTTTCCTGTAAACCAGCAATGGAAGATCTGGTTAACAGAATAACAGAGCTGGAAAGGGACCTTGGAGGTCACCTAGTCCAGCCCCCTGCTCAAGCAAGAGACCCTAATTTCAGACAGGTGGCTCTCCAAGTCTCTTCTTCAAAACCTCCAGTGACGGATCGCCCACAACTTCTGGAGGCCGGCTGTTCCACCGGCTGATTGTCCTTATTGTTAGGCAGTTTCTCCTTAATTCAAGGTTGCTTCTCTCCTGGATTAGCTCCCATCCGTTGTTTCTTGTCCTGCCTCCTCTGGTGCTTTTTGGAAAAGAAAGCATCACACTTTCCAGACCCCTTTTCCACTTAAGTCCCAGCCAAGCGGAGTGAGTGTGAAATCCATCGTCCTTACCCGTTTGGGAAGCAACTCCTCTTGAGCCAAGAAGCCACGCTTATGAACGCTGGGGTCGTAATCTCCGTACTGCAGAGGGAGAGAGGAATTTCTGGAGTTAGAACCGGTGTAAGAATTGACGAGCCCTAGATAGCTGCAGAATCCTTCTGGACCACTTGCGTCTTCTCTGTTATGGAAGGGGGTGGGGGGAGGGGGAGGGGGAGGAGGAGGAGGAGGAGGAGGAGGAGGAGGAGGAGGAGGAGGAGGACTGTGAGGTCCGTGGTGCTCTCTGAGCTTGGTGGTTTTCTTGCAGACGTTTTGTGACCCAAACTAGCTAACATCATCAGTGCTGGAAGGGAGTGGGGTTTGCAGAGAGGAGGAGGAGGAGGAGGAGGAGGAGGAGGACTGTGCGGTCCGTGGTGCTCTCTGAGCTTGGTGGTTTTCTTGCAGACGTTTTGTGACCCAAACTAGCTAACATCATCAGTGATGGAAGGGAGTGGGGTTTGCAGAGAGGAGGAGGAGG